GCACCATTCTCATCACCGGCGGCTCCGGTGGCATCGCCTGAGGCGCCACTCCTTGGTACCTGCGCAGGAGTGAAACATGAAATGTGGGATGAATCCGGGCCGTGTCTGGTAACTGCAGCCGATACACCACGGCCCCGACCCTCTCCAGCACCTGATATGGTCCGAAATAACGAGTCGCGAGCTTCTGGTAAGCCCTCTTAAACACGGAAGTCTGCCGGTACGGGTGCAACCTGAGTAAGACCCAATCACCCACCGCGAACTCCTCCTCTCGCCGCTCTGAATCTGCCTACTGCTTCCGCCTGTTATTGGAGGCGGCCAAATTCGCTTTCAATTGCTGCAGCACCTCATGTCGATCCGCCAGCCACCTGTCCACCACGTCCACCGCACTCGCCCCGGATTGATACCGGACTAGCATCGGAGGTGTCCTCCCATATAGAGCCTCGAACGGAGACATCTGAATAGACCGGTTATATGTGGTGTTGTACCACAGCTCTACCCAAGGTAGCATAGCTAGCCATCGTCGTGGCTGCTAATGTGCAAAACAACGCAAGTATTGCTCCAGTATTTTATTCACCACCTCCGTCTGTCCATCTGTCTGTGGATGGTAGGCCGAGCTCATCTTCAGTTCCGTTTTGGCCATGGCGAACACCTCCTTCCAGAACCTTCCTAGGAATAGGGCATCCCGATCGCTCACTATCGAGCGAGGAAACCCATGGTGTCGAACGACCCCGCATACGAACTGCTCAGCGACACTCTAGTGATAGCCGGCCCTCAGATCGAGCTTGGTGAAGTACTGGGCTCCTCTCAGCTCGTCTAGCATGTCGTCCACTGTGGGAATGGGGAAACGGCCACGTACAGTGGCGGTATTGAGGGGCCAGTAGTGTGTACAGAACCTCCAAGTGCCATCCTTCTTCTTCACCAGCAGCACCGGCGAGGAGAACGGGCTGGAGCTCGCTCGAATAAGTTCGGCGGTCATCATTTCCTCTACCTGTCTCTCAATCTCGACCTTCTGGGTGTGAGCATACCTGTAGGGTCGGACATTAACCGCATCCGTGCCCTCCTTCAGCCAAATCCGATGGTCAACCTGGCGCTGTGGGGGCAACTGGTTCAACGGCTCAAAGAGCCCCGCATACCTGTCCAGCAGTGCTTGCAAATCAGGGAATAGCAGTTGCTGGCCAGCAAAGTACTGCGAGCTCCACATTTGCTTCCAGCTGCGGGTCGCCTAACTCAACTGGCCCAGTTGTCGTGGTCATACCCTGCAGCTCCCAATCCTTGTCCCTCCACTTGAATCTCATAACCATCTTCACCCAATCACTAGTCACTGGCCCCAAGCTCTTGAGCCAAGGCATGCTCAAGATCACATCGAATCCCTGCAACGACAACACGTAAAGGTCGAGAGGAACTTGTAACCCTTAGATCTGCACGGACATACCTGCCAGCTTCCCTGCGCACTGCAATGGTGCGCCATTGGCAACCTTCACATCAAAAGGAGCTATGGCCACCTGAGGTGTGTGCAGTCGACGCACGAACTCTTCTCTGACGAAGTTGAGGGAGGCCCTGCTATCAACCAAGGCCACGCCCCACTCCCCTACGATCTGCGCCTTGAAGCGCATGGTTGCGGACCTGGCTTCCGCGGCGGCGGCGACGGTGGGGATGGTCTCCAGCCGTGCGCCCCCTCCTTCCCCCTCTCGCGCCCCTACTGTCGCCGACAGGAGAGCCGAGCCCACGCCCTGCTCCTTCGCGTCGCCGGGGCCTCCAGCCCTCATCGACCACCACCTCGCGTGCCGCCTCGCACGACTTCACTCTCGCCGCGGTCTGCTTCTCCTGTTGCGGCGTTGCTGCTGCCGCCGCTAGGGCGGCCCCATCGGTGGCCAGGGCCTCCGTCGCCCCTCTCCCTCGCCGCAGGTCAGCCGCCACCCTCTGCAATCGGGTGATGACCTCCAGCAAGCGGCCTCGATCGGCGCCCCCTGGTCCCCATTCGAGTATCCTGTAGAACTCATATCGACGAGGCTCTAATACCAATTGTGAGAAACACGATTAATCGAACAGAAATTGGGGATGAGAATAGAAGAATTAGGGTTGAGAATTGTGAATTGAGATGGGAATTGAAGAAGAGAAGAGGATTTAGGTTTTATGAATTCTGATATTATGATTGATTAATCGAAATAACAGAGACTGCAGTTTAAATAGTTCTATCTCCCTAATAATACCCAATTGACCCAAATACCCTCCCAGGCCGACTCGGCCTTCACACCGTGTCTCTCACAGTTGGATAGTTTTGCGGATTAGCTATTTTGTGCAATTGCTCACAAGGGCAAAGGCTCGAGAAGAATCAGACGAAGGTTGGCCACGATCAAGAGGGATTAGCTTGATCGATACAACGAGTGCCCTAGAACTAGTTCTAAGCCACTCTCAATCACAATACGAAACTTGTGAACCAAACTTGACGTTTGTCTTCGATTAAAACCAAAACTGAGTTTACAATGCATTAATGCAATTGATCAACCTTAAATAGACCTATGCTAGCTAACAAACTCAATAAGAAAGTTCAATTCTCCAATAAACAAGGAAATCGAACCCAAAATAGAAAAGGTAAAACTCCAGTCGCAATCCTAATCCGAATAGGATTCGAATTCTTGATGCAGCAAGGCAGTTTCCTTCAGACTTCGAACGATCTTGCTGGTCTACGTTCAATTTCCTCCAAGCTTCGTTCCAGTTATCCAATTCCACGACGTTGCACTATGAAAGGCCTAGTTTCATGGGATATCAACCTTGCAATTCGAACCTGGCTCAATCTCCACGAATTGAAGCTCAAAGTCACCTTCATGAACTCGTTTCCAGACGTAGGCAATTTTTGCAGTTTTGCCTATGTTGAGCAGGCACTTTCATCGACCCAAAAAAACAATCTTCTGGGCTTCCTTTTGAACTCCAAAATATGTCGATGTAAAGAACAACTCTTCTTCTTCTTCTTCTTCTTCTTCTTCTTCTTCTTCTTCAATACAAGCCCTTGAAGTCGAATTTTCACCAAGCCAATCTCGAGTTACACACGTCCAATGGATAAAATACCTCGGGTGCTACTTAAGTTTGAGAATTGGGGTAGGCATACCACTTAAGTTTGATTAGGGCGTTAGGTACCACTCAACTCTATTATATGTGCACTCGGTATCACTTAAATTTACTGTTAAGTGCATTCCGTGAAAGTTGGCAGAATATTCTGTTTTTTAAATTTCATAATTGGTCCTTCTACTTTTCTTATTGTAAAAAAATCATTTGGACTTATGAAAAAATCATTTTTTATTGTTTAGGTAGAATCCTCGTTTGAATACTTGATATGAAAAAATCATTTTTTATTGTTTAGGTAGAATCCTCGTTTGAATACTTGATACCAAAACAATTTTTGAATAGAAATTTTAGAATTAATTATCATTATAATTATTTTCAATTATCATTATGTGTTTAAATAAGTGAATTATTCCATGAATTTTGTTTTAAATAATGATGTAGCTTTTATAATCATATTTTCTTTTCTACATTTTTTACCGGATGTTGTCGCTTTTATATTTTGTATATTACTTGGTTACTTTTCATCTCTTTTCGTTCTAAATTTTTTCAATTAGTGAAATATGTTTAATTCTTTCTGATTGTGTTCCATTTATCTTTTTTGATTTTGATGTATTGATGATCGATTAGGTTCTATTTTAACTATTTTGTTTTGGTGAAACTATTTTAACTATTTCTAATGGTGCTTCTAATTGAATTTGGGAGTTTAAATAGATATTCTAATATTCATAACTCGTTTGCAGACTTAGGCAATTTTTGCAGTTTTGCCTATGTTGAGCAGGCACTTTCATCGACCCAAAAAAACAACCTTCTGGGCTTCCTTTTGAACTCCAAAATATGTCGATGTGAAGAACAACTCTTCTTCTTCTTCTTCTTCTTCTTCTTCTTCTTCTTCTTCTTCTTCTTCTTCTTCTTCAATACAAGCCTTAGAAGTCGAATTTTCACCAAGCCAATCTCGAGTTACACACGTCCAAAGTTGGCCAACTGAAATGATCAAAAGATTTGTATTCTCTAATGCTCTTGGATGGCCTTTTCGATCAATCGATTCTAGTCTGGTTAATGGCCAATTTGAGATCATATCAGTCTCTAAACACCTTATTATGTCATCCTATTTCATGGATGAAATCGTCCAACTACTATTTTAGATGGTATCATCCAATTACCATTTTGGATGGTGTCCATGATAATTGGAACGGTACCATCCACCACTAAGAGGTTGGATAGTGTCCACTATATGGAGTGTTATAATCCACCTTGTGGTTGGGATGATATCCATGATATTGGAAATAGTACCATCCACCGTAGTATTGAATAATATCCATGATGTGGTTTAGTACCATCCACTATGAGGCTGGATAGTTACCTTAGGACTGGACACTTGGTGACCAAGTACGGGATGGTCACATCGCCCAAACTATTATCCACCAATATACTGCCCATCCAGACAATAAATCTATCATGAATGGACCCATCTGTATAAAGTGGTCCAACCGTCCAAAATATTCCTCGTGGTGTTTTAAGGAGAAAAATATTTTGGTGTAAACACAATCACATACGCACATTATCGACGTGTATATACTCTGTGGACATAAGCACATTATCAATCTATTAAGATAATTCAACCTTCCATTTAACTTATTCATTAGAAGTGTCACGTACACACAAATTTCACAAAACAAAAATTCTTTTGTAGAATTCATTACACATTCTACAACAAAATCAACACGTTTAAAAGCCATACCTTAATAGTGTCTCGAGTGAATCGCCATCGCAACTGGAATTAATCCAACTAATTGTTGTAAATAGAATCCTAAACTTGGTAGATTATTACATAATATCAAATTACTCAATCAAATCTAAAAAGCAAACACAATAAATCAAAATTTTGCTTCCTAAATAACAAACTCTAACCCCAATTTTAACCTTTCAAATCTGTAACATTAAAAAAATTCACCATAAACCCTAAAACGAAAAGAAAACAATTTCCCATTTTTTAAAACAAACAAACAAATCCGAATCTTCGCCGGATCATACAATTCCGCCGGACCCAGATCCGCCAATGATCGGGAAAACGATCGTCGCCCCAGTGCGTCGCGGCCGAGGGAGGCCGCGGAAGCATCCCAAACCCGACGATCCCGCCGGTATCAACGTAGTCATCGGCAAGAAGCGTCGATCGTCGTCGAAATCCGCCACGATTTCCAGGGCGGAGGGCGAGGAAGGACCCTTTCGCCCTCGGCCTCCGCCGCCGCAGAAGGGAGGTCGGCGGCGGCTGGTCATACCGCGATGGCACAACAAGCGGGCCAGGAGCGCCTCCGACGCCCTCGGCGGCAGCGGGGGCGGAAGCCCCGTCGGGAAATCGATCCCGAACCCAACCCCCTGCTCGTCTTCTTCCTCCTCCGCCGGCTGCTACCGGCCGTTCGTCGACGACAGCCGGGGAGATCTGAACGGCGGAGGGGTCCTGGTTTTCCAGTGCCTGGCGGATTTCGAGATCCCCGGGCCGATCCCGGATTTGGCCGATCTGATGAGCGACATGACCATTTTTCAGGATTTTTTCAATGACATAGATGAGTTTAATTGTGGTTAAATTAAATGGTATTCTTTTTTTCTTCTTCTTCTCTCCATTGTTGTAATCTGTTGCTATATGCTCTGTAAAATCAATTAGGACAGGGGATATCTTTTTGAACGCATTGTACATTATCCCAATTCAAGTGTTTTCTTGAAGGATTTCTGAATGTCGTGTTAGTAAGACATTACAATCCAAGAACCCAGAATTTTGTTCCTCCTTCCTGAGCAGAACCTTTAATTTGTCGAGGCTAGGAAAACTCTCAGTTTGATACCTTCATACAGAAGAAGTTCACTATAGATTGTGTTAAAATATGTGATCGGTCATTACTCCTTTGATTATAACAAGGTATCATCAAACAATAACGCAAAGTATTACAAAAATCTCACGCGACGTAATATGTCAATCTTGTAACTTTAGGGTTTTTTAACTTAACTTTTGTCGATAAACCCTAGCATCCTCCAAAAACACAATGAAAAATTATGATGGTTATGACGATCAAGAGCAATAGCAGCAGCAACAACTAGATCTAGTTGTTGCCCTCTAGTTGTCGTGCCGTTCATCTTTCATTTTCTTTTCTCGATAGACAAATTCTTAAGGGTAGAAATGATCAAATGATATTTCCACCTAGTAAATCATGGTTTGACCGAAACTTTCAGACCGCAAATGAAAAATATAACAGAAGGACATATTTGGTAGGGGTGGCTATTTGGATCGGGACCGGATTAAAAACCGGAAACCGGACCGTATAATCCGGACCGAGACCGGACCGGGACCGGATAGTAAACAATCCAATCCAATTTTTGAGCTTAAATTTGAGGTAAAAAACCGGATAAAGATCGGATAAGAGAGCTCAACACCCAAAACTTAAGGGTAATTTGCATAAACGGTCACAAACCTTTGCATTTAGTACAAAACTTAACCAACTCCTCACCCTTTAAGGCCTTAGGCCACTCAAATCCCACAATCTCAATGTAAAATCAAGACCGAATTGAGACCGGACCGAATCAAGACCGGACCGAATCAAGACCGGACCGGATCAAGACCGGACTATATCCAATCCAATCTTCGGTCCTTATATTTTCAAAAAAACCGAACTGTACCGAATCAATTTAGGTCAATTTAACCTGACCGGACCGTATAGCCACCCCTAATATTCGGTATCACGATAATATTAGAAGGACCAATTTGACGTGAAATTGAAACGTACCAAAATTGTAAAATTTAGAAAAAAGAAAGGACAGAAAAGGTAAAACAACTCGCAGCAGAATACTGACCGTCGATTAAAATCCCGGGGCGGGCATCAATCATCATGGATGACCCGGAAATCCAACGGCGTAGAATAAAACGCAGACCTAAGAGGAAGCACAGAACATTTTTTGCGTTCGATATACAAAAGCAGAGACCGAAGCTCAAATTAGCACTCCCTTGCAGCGGAAAATCCCTTCCCGGAAGAAGAAGAAGAAGAAAGAAACTGAGCTTCTGCCCTAGTTATCAATGGCTTCCCGTATCCTGTCCAGATCCAGACAGGTAAATTTCCTCTTCGCCTTCTCCATTTCGCTGGTTTCGAATCGCGGATGTTATCCAATAAACGTTTGGCGACGATCAATTTACCCTTTGTTTCCTGGTCTTCGAAATCGTCGGGCGGTGAGTTTTTCCCCCTTCGAGTTCTACGATTAGTCGGGCATTTGCGGCGTTTCGGCTGATCGTTGGCGGGTGTGTCTCGATGCGTAGGCTTTTGGTCGTATATTAGGGGCTCGTGGAATTTAGGTGGGATCGTGTAATTGAGAGTGTATGAACCGGAGGGGTGATGAAAAGTTAGTGACTTGTCCTTGATTTTTGAGGAAATGAATAATGGGTTAGTGTTAGAAGTTTAGGATTATTTTATTAAACATCGCGGGCATGAATGCGAGGTTCTGTTTCTGTAAGATGGTATTGAGGCATCTTGTCTGGATGTATACCTCAGTTCTGGGTATCCCTTTCCTTCTATCTTTATCCATTTTGCCGAATATCTGTTGTACTTTATCGCTGATGTCTTTCTTGTTTTTGGAACTATGCAGCTCTATGCTAGTCAGGTTGTTGTACCGCATGAGTCTGCCATTCCAGCTCGTTACTTTTCGGCCAAGTCTGAGCCGGAACTGAAGGGAGATGGTAAATATGCTTGTCATAGCGCTATTTCTTGCCGAGTCTTAAAAAGGCTTTGTAGAGCCACCTTAATCAATCTACAAATTAGTACAAAGTGGTAGCACCATTGCCTTAAACTGTTTTCTAGAATAGTATATTTTCAGAGCTGTACTTTTTGGATGGAACTATGGCCAATGTGTGTAAATTCAGGTTATGATTCCCTTCCGCTGAGATGCTATTATGGTTGCGAGCCATTCCCTGAGATAGGAACCTATCTTATATGTAATAGGGTAGGCATTCAAGAACTATAGGGTTTATGTTTTGCACCCTAACTTACTCAGGTGCAAGTCCTATGATTGATTAATCCTGGGAAAGGCTAGACATGGTCCCACACTACTACTATGTTGTCCTATCACAAAAAATGATGCATTATACAATCTCAACTAAAAGTTGAGATTGTTGCTTTTAGATTTGTGTCAACTTTTTCTTTCCATTTATATCTCTAATAATTTTTGTCTTATACTAAAAGTTGAGGGTAAATATGACATTTCCCCATAAAAGTAACTTAATGTAAATCAATGCATAAAGTAGAATCTCAACAACCAAACAATGTATTGTTAAAATGCATCCATTGTATCAATACATGCATTTATATTATGGTGATTCATTACAATGCAACGATTTAACATTTGCAACTTCCAAACGAAACCTTAGTATATGTCGCTGAAAATGCGGGCTATAGGTGCTTTCTGTAGCTCTATGCTTATCAGATTTTATTATTTTCACTAATTGTCTGTGCTGACTTCAACCTTTTATGTTTTCCTTGTATGAAAAAGCGATGCTCAAGAACATCTTTCTGGATGTGAAGAAAAAGTTTGAGACTGCAATGGGAATTCTTCGAAAGGAGAAGATAACCATTGCACCTGAAGATCCAGCTGCTGTTGCTCAATATGCAAAGGTCATGAAGACTGTCAGAGAGAAGTATGCTCTGGTTCTCCTGTTTTGGGCGCGGTAGATCAGCACTGTCTGTATAAATATTTCATCTGCTGATACTTGTGTCTCTTGCAGGACTGATTTGTGGACTGAATCTCAAACTATCAAGCATGCCATTGAGTCAGAAACAAAGGATATCCCAGATGCTCGTGGTTACTTGCTGAAATTGCAGGACATGAGAATCAAGTATAGACCCATCCTTCCATCTATATAGTTTTAAAATGTCATTTGCTATTTTTTCTCCTTTCTTCACCACTGTGTTGTTGATGCACTCTACATTCCTTTCAATTTCTTGTCTGTTACAGTTTCCAGCTCTTTCCATTACTTTCTTGAGTTTTGTTATGTACAAAGCTTGGCTAGATGTGTTCTGTAGTGGTTTCTGTTGATCAGCCATTGCCTTTTCAATTCTCACATATTTCAATGTGATCCTTGCATACCTTGGCATGTATCCTAATAGATTTTAGATAGAATGCTTTTGTTTATTTGCATCTTTCCAAATATCCTTCTCTGTGCAGGCAGGGTCTCAAAGACGAGCTTGGTGCTGAAGCTATGATGATGGATGCCTTGGAAAAAATTGAGAAAGAACTCAAGAAACCTCTCATGAGGAATGATAAAAAAAATATGGCTAGTCTCATGGCTGAGTTTGACAAGATCAATCAGAAGTAAGTCTCAAACGTTTTCGTTCACTGGTTTCTGTGTTCTGTCCCTTAAAGTCAAATGGAGAAAATTTGCAGAAGTATATTGTAATTGAGTAATTGAATAACATAAACTGTACAGAATAAAACAGAGTTCTTGAGGTGGGAGAGAGAATAGTAGAAGTAATCTGTTTTAAGCTGTTGCACTTGTTCTATTGTGTCATGATGCTTTTCATGGTCTTGGCCAATTTGATTGCCTATTTGATAATGATATCGTAATGCTTCTAAAGTTTTTCTCATATGTTTAGGATTTTAATTATTCTTTAGTGAAATCTGAAGGAATATTAAGCTAGAATGATCTCATATCCTGTGATACTGATATTCATAATCAGGCTTGGAGTTAGAAGGGAAGACCTACCGAAGTATGAAGAACAGTTGGAACTCAAAATTGCCAAGGCACAATTAGAGGAGCTGAAGAAGGAGGCTGAAGAGGCCATGGACACCCAAAAGAAAAGGTATTTACGAGAATAGCACACGGACATGATAAGCCTAACCTCTCTACTTGGATGTAACCAATCTATGTAATCTGATCTTTGTTACAGGGAGGAATTCAAGGACGAGGAAGTGCCAGACGTGAAATCTTTGGATATCCGGAACTTCATTTGAGGCTCTCACGTGCCCTTTGTTTCTTCCGCCTGCTTCAATGTTGCAGCTGCCTGATGGCGAGCTAGGAGACTCTGCTGCAATGTTGGTTTGAGATTCTGACGAATACCTCAACTCTGTTTTTGCTTGGAAAAATAAGAAAGGCACTTCTGTTTTCTTGGAGTACTGTTGCAACTGAGTAGTAGATATAATTTGAGAGTTTTCTCGTGTTAATTCACTTGCAATCCAAGGAGGTCACATTCTCTTATTAAGGAATCCCAATTCTTAAGGTTTAAAGAATTCTCTGTCTACTCTTTATCTCCTTTCCCCAGGTCTATCTTGCTGATGATTCTCCGACTGGAAGTAATCTCTCGTCCATCTGGAAAGAAAAGTTGACAAGTTTTTTCAATTACCTTGCATAGTACCAATTCAGTTTGTACCGTAATTGTTTCTGTTTTTGTAAATGGAAACACCGGTAGTACGGAGCTCTTGGTTGTATTAGTTCAATCATGTATGTAGATCAAACTGATAAATGATCTGTAGGCCAGAGAACCAAAGAGTAACGACTAACACTGGCTCTCACCCATGTTATTTACAAGAAAGGCCTCTCTTCCCTCCACTATGTCAGGCTTCAGTTCAAAGCCGTGCAGACGGTTGTCCTCGTTTAGCTGGGTTGCGATAATCATAGACTCCAACCCCACGCTTTCGACCTAGCCTTCCTGCATCGACGTACTGCACCAGAAGAGGGCAAGGGAGGTACTTGGTATCACCTAACCCGGCGTGAAGAACCTTCATGATTGATAGGCAGACATCTAGTCCGATGAAGTCAGCGAGCTCCAGTGGCTCCATTGGATGGTTCGTCCCTAGCTTCATCCCTGCGTCGATGTCCTCCTTTGTCGCGCACTCCTGTGTAGAGAGTGTGGAATGCTTCGTTTATCATCGGCATCAGGATTCTGTTCACTATGAAGCCTGCAAAGTCCTGAGAGCAGATCACCGTCTTCTTGAAGAATCTGTGACCATTTACAGACATTTTTCAGACATTGATCAGATGCCACTGGACTTAAATACCATTGATGGCGGGTGCCACTAGGACTCTGTCAAAACAGGCTGCCACTTCAGCATTCATGCATGCTTCTTCTTCTTGGATAACTGGGATTGCTCTTGGTGATTCCTTGTGGGTTTATGCTGCTGAAGTTGGGCCTCTCCTAGTATTACTTGTACTGTCTTGCATAGTTTACAAAGTGATTACTGGGAACTTCCAAGGCATTCAGAAGTGCATTCTCATGTTAACAATTCCAAGCTATATTCTCATAGCACTGCACTGGCTGTGCGAGAGCAACACACAACATTTGCATTTTATGTTCGAAGGAATTGGGAGAAACTACATCCCTCAAGCAGTATATGCCATTGGGTTTTCCCAACTTCTGATTCTGGCATTTAGCATGCTTTTTAATGAAGAGAAAGTTGCAGATAATAGAAAGAGCTTGATGATTAAGACATTATCCATGTTGTCTGCATGGAATCCAACGATTATATTGTTGTCTGGGAAACAAGGTTCCTGGATTGTGTTGGCATCAATAGTTGGAGGTTCTATTCTTCACCTTTGTTATTTTATATCATTATTTATAGCAAATCCTCTCTTAGATTCTCATGCTTCACAAGCGTTCAAATATAGGGTTCACTTTGCTTGGGTTGAAAGGAAATGAATAATAGGTTTATATCTCCAAAATGTCCCATCTCCTATTGTGTAAAAGAACTTCGCATATTGGCAGGGTACTGCATAACAAGGTTGCAGAATACAGGAAAAGATGCAAATGGTGGGAAATCTAGAACCTCAAGCTTCAATCTTCTCGCTGTGACACAGTGGAACCTTTTAGCCGTATGTCTGTTTTTCGCCTCAGGGTACTGGTAAGAATGCTTACCCTGTATTGACATTGTTGTTTACAAAATGACACCCTCTATTTCTCACACTGCAAGCATGTCTAAGAGATCCTTCTTCTCAGGTGTGCTTTTGTGACAATTTTGATTTTTTTCTTTATGTTGCAGATTTGACGAGTTTGTACTTGTCCGTCAAGCAATCCTACTTACTTTGGAGACATTTGGGTTTTCCCTCATCCTTCCTGTTATTGGGCTTCCATTTCTTATTCTGGGTCGCAAACAAACTAACCCTGGGAAGAATGTTCTTTTCAATCAGTTGTCTCAGGTGAGGTTCATTATTCAATAAAAGCTGTAAACAAACACGCCCAAAATGAGTAATTGTTATGATTTGTTATATATGGTAACATCCATGTCATTAGTTTTTACAACCTTTTTCTGTTCATTATTCATACTGCACAAATGTAGCCAGCCTCCAAATGATCGAATCGATCTATTTAACCTTGTGGCACTTGCTGTGTTACTCTTGTTGACGGTGGCTGCTGCCTCATCCTTTGCAGGTCTGGGGGCTGTTTGCTCCAAAATTTGTCTTCGATGTGGTGGGTCTTACCCTAACAGAAGTCATCATTTGCTTGGCCTCCCTTCTCTATTTTGGAAGAAGGGTTGTTTAATAAATAGCTTGGAATGCTTCTCACAGAAAGATGGACTCCTGAGAATCCTCGTCCTGAAATTCATCCTGCTTTCGTGTGCTTTTTTTTACCTAACAGGTTCAGGATTTGCAGAAGTGTCAGTTTACTTTGTGGGATTTTGCACCAATTGCGTCCCTGCATTCAATCCCATACGACGATTGTTTGACACTGTCCAGAGGTTTTGGTTTATGGAAATGGCCATAAACTTGGAAAAGGACTGCAAATTTAGATTGATTCAAAGAGCTTCTGTAACATTTGGCTGTCACAGGTTCAGAAGCAGCATCTCCGGGACACTTTCATCCTCCGGCTTCTGCTATCTCGAGGTGCAAAAAAGCTACTGTCTTTCTGAAGTTATGGTCACAGGTTTGATTGTTTGGTAGATCATTCTTGGGGTTTTTGACACTAGGAAGCGGGAACTAGTCAGCGAAGGAGTGTTCTTTACTTCTTTTCTCTTCCTATGAACTGCACTAAGAAAAGCCCATTGGGGAGTGTTCTTTCCTCTTAATTATGTTGTGATAAACCAGAAACAATTCTATTTACCCCAAAAAGAAAATAGCTTACTTGAAGTCCAAGAAATTAAACAATCACCCACTATGTACACAAATGCAATTGAGATGAAAATATACCAATTTTTTTCACAAATAAATTGAGGGGTCATTTGGATCCAGGTTTTTAATTTGTGGGATTTTGGCTCAAATCACTGGTTTAAAAACCCAGGTTTTTAATTTGTGGAATTTGTGTGGAATTTTAAAATAGCTGATGGCCATAAGCTATTTCATAATCCCACAATTGTGGGTTTCTGAAATCTCTAATATTTAAAATCTCTTATCTTATAATTGCTTTCCAAACGAGCGATTTTAATTAAAATCCCACACTATGTGGGATTGTGCCCAAATCCCACACCCAAAACCTGCATCCAATTGTTCTCTTCCATAAATCCTACCAGCAACGAAGTAGTGGGAGAAATAAACACTCTAAGGAGAGTGATATAATCACGCATTCAATCGTTCTCTTCCATACTGTTTCCCTGACATATCTTTGCACTTTTTTTTTTCAAATAATGCAATCTGTATGGATCCAAGGGGGACATTCAATAAAATATGTAACTATGGTTTTAATAACTGAATCTGAAGACAAAACATGAACTCTATCATCACCACGTACGTAAGCCTCTCTAAACTGATGATGACAGCTTTTCTATTATTCATTTCCTTTGAATGAGGATGAGAAAATTGGCAACGACAATGGTTCGTTGCGATTGCATCACCAACAACAACAGCAGCAAACACTCAACAACTACTTATAATAGATTAATTACAACGTTAATCAATTAATTAGCAAGAACCTGCAGCCGTCTAAAAGGGTTGAGATTCTCATTAGCTTAACGTTTTAATTATTTATATTTTTGTCGTTTGGATTTATTAGATGAAAGCGATTCGTTATTAAACAAATACTAAACCCTAATATAAACCAACTAATTAACTCCCTCCAATTAAAACCAGATTTCATAATAATGAGAAACCAGACTTCTGGAAGTCGCAAGTCAAATTAAATCCCGACAAAGAACTTGTTATTTCAACCTACTACTACTTAATTATTATCATGAGTATTTGTGTGCTGCACGGCTGTTTTTTCACGACTTTTATTTATTAATTAATCTAATGGTAGGGTTTTTTTGGTTCGTTGAGGTACATGGAGATATTGAGAGAAAGAGAGTGAGGGTTAAAGTAATGGAATGTCTTTGTCTAATATCCATAAGCATTTTGATTCCCATGCAAGTTATTGAGAGATGTTCTTTGTTGATGACGTTCTTATGTGGCTCGCGAATTATAGGCGTATATCATCACCCTAAACATAGTAAATACGATATATACCGTTACTACTCCATAAGATATGTATATCCTCACCCTAAACATAGTAAACACGATATATACCGTTACTACTCCATAAGATATATGGTAACGCATCTAGCTACGAAACAAACGTGGACGAAAATTGCATTATTTCACGTATAGAATTAAAGATGTTTGCCTAGAAAGAAAGCCATACTTATGTTTCTACCAAAAAAAGCCATACGTATGTACGTGGTGAAGTTTATCTCGTCACACAATAATGAACTTTTACATGTGTGACACCAAATAAGATTGCTCTCCCATCACATAATCTTACAACATCATATACAAAATATTTTGGTGCTATAACATACGAGCATTTCTACTACGCTATATAGCATCGGTACTTTAATGTACAACTTAAAGTTGTACCATAACTTAAAATGTATAAGTTTAGGTTGTACCATAAATGAATTTGTATCATTATGTTATGGTACAACTTTACAAATTGAAGTTGTACCATCAAATAAAAGTACAAGTTCAAGATGTACCATAAAAGAATTTGCAGAAAATGAATAGGTACAATCTGAAGTTGTATCATAACGTTAAAGGTACAATTTCAAGTTGT